TTTTATCAGTTGATCCACAGCCTCATTGCCGACGAGAGCTTCCCCGACGAACAATACCAAATCCGGCTCGTTTACTTTAATCAGCTTCGCCAGAGCTCGCATCAATGGTTCATTATCCTGCATTCTACCGGCAGTGTCGACTAAGACAACATCAATCCTGGAATCCTTTGCAAAACGTATCGCTTCCAAAGCAATACCTGCGGCATCCTTACCGTAACCTTTTTCATATAATTGCACCATCGATTGATTTCCGTGCTTTTCTGGTGGATGTAGAGCGTTCAAATGTCGCATGTGTGTTCTCAGTTGCTCAACCGCTCCAGCTCTAAAATGTGAAATTATTATTATTATTATAGGCTATTGATAGTTATAATGTATTTACATTAACTTATTATAATTATATATTATATAGAAAATAAGGAAAATATTAATATATCAAAAAATATTTTAAAAAATAAAAGAAATGTATGTAAAAAAAAAGTATAAATATAAAATATAAAATAATATTACACATTTTTTGAGACACGCTTATAAAAAGATTATTATTACTATTATAAATATCTTCTTTACAAAATACTATTAGGAAAACTTAATATTTTGAATATATTAATTAATAATGAATTAATTTTGAATATAATGATAGATTCACCTGAATGTATCACATGCAGCTATCAACACGCGGAAATTGTTTTCTATTAACCAGAAACAAATTTTTGCCAGATTCGTCGACTTGCCGACCCCATTGACGCCACAAAAAGTCATCACATAAGGTCTATTACTCTTCTTGGCTTCTAAAGCGTCTCGTAAAATATCGATTCTTCTTTTGGGAGACAGTATCTGTACTAAAGCATCCGTTAAAGTGGCCTTCACAGTACTTGCTACGCTATCAAAAGTGCCAAGTACTTTTCCTTCCAACTTTGTACCAACAGAATCGCATAATTTTTGCGCAATGTCCGCGGCGACATTTTTGGTGATCAGATGATCTTTCAATTTTTCCAAAACCGGCAACATATCCTCTTGTTTAAGAGATTTGCTGCCAACCAGACTCTTAAACATGGAGAACATACTTGTTTTCTTTTGCGTTTGTTGCTTGGAGTGCTCTATTTCCTCTTGCTCGGAATCATCCTCAGATTCACTATTCACTTCTAGGTCACGTATACTACCCTTCATCTGTCCAATTAGCTACAGAAAGTAATAAAAATATAAATAAGCAAGTGACAAATCTCAATTCCTTCGGCTAAATTTTCAATATTTTTTTTCCACACTTCTGTTTATTTTATTTTAATTATATTCAGATATATATATATATAAATAAATCTAATTTAATTTTTAAATAAATAAAATGATAAAATCTGATGAAGTTTTGAAAATTTACTAGAAAATTCTTAAAAATCTTCAAAGCTAATAAAAATAGAAAATTGAGCAATGAATTTGATAGTAAATAAAAAAATATTACAGCTGTATCGGCTCCCACATAATCATTATTCTCTTCGGGCTTGTCTTTAGTTCGTTCTAGCATAGCCAGATCTTTAGCTGTTCCACCCAGTTCCCAAATGCGTGGCTTTTTGCCAGTTTTCTCAGGTTTAGGACTTTTCCTAATATTCATTTTATTATTAACTTAATTATAAATATTTAATTATATAAATGTATATTTATTAATTTGTTTCTAAATTTGTTGTTTTGTATATATCATCAATATAAAATTATTTCTTTATAAAAGTAAAATTCAATTAAAAGTAAAATGTATGCGCAACTTCTTAAATATTAAATATTTTACAGAATCAATTAAACTATTACAATAATCTGATTACATGCACCGTATCTAATCCAATTACGTATGCATATATATGTACATGCACGCATATGCACATATGTATATAATCTTAATAATTATTTATTAATAGATGGAGAAAAAAAGCATGCTTACTGTTTATCGGCTTTTTTCTTTTGTCCTGCTATTTTTTGAGCAAGTTTCATACGATTTGCAATTAGTGTTTCTTCATCAAGTTCCCCATTATGTTCCATTTGCTGTTTTGGCAATTCCTGTTTTGGAACATCTTGAATTTTTACTGCAGCATTAAAATATTTAATTTAATACAAAATATTAAGTAAAGAAAGAATTTCAAACAAAACTTTAATAAAAAAAAAGTCACATTTGTTAATTTTATTATTTTATCCATGCAATATATTATGCATATGCAATATTGCATTAATATAAAAGAATTTAGTAAATTTAGTAAATGCTACTTACTATAGCAATCCCCATTACAATTATTTGCTTTCTTCTTTTTGCCTAGAAGCGAAGAAAATCCTTGTTATTAGCATTACTCAGATTAAAAAAAGAAAGTTATTGAATAAACATAACTTACAATTTTAAATTAAATTTGGTTACTGTTTCATATAAAAATAAAATAAGCGCTACATTTCTATACTTTTGCTATAGTATATTTCTTTTCTTTCTTGAGGATATTGTTTACTGCATAAATTCCATGTCCCTAATCTCTAAGCTTCAATATAGCAAACCTGAATATTATATATAACTACACATAATATTCACTCTTCTTTTGTTTCTTTAAACTTTTTTAAATTATTGAAATTTTAGGTCTCAATCTTATTTTTTCCAAAAATAGATAAAGCTGTATACATTGTTATTGCATATAAATTAATTGTTACATTGTTATTAGTCATGTTGCTATACCTGACTTCTTATCATCCTTGTCATCTTTCCTTTCGATCATACTAGCGACAGTCTTTTTGGATTTTTGACTCTCATCAAAAGTACGCATTTGCTTCGGTATCTTGGCCTGTGAACGTGACCACTGTTCAGACCGTTCAAGCACTATATGATAAATATGTTCAAATTCAAAGTTAGTAAACCAGCTTGAATTCTCGAGTTCATTCTTGAAGCGATCCCTAAACTCTAAATGGATGTCATTCAGGAATTTATCCACATAAGATAATTGTAATATCTTCTGATATGCCACTACAAATACCAATTCAAACTCGTTATCAAGTTTATATTGCAGTCGTAGAGAATCATGTTCAAAGCTATGATTCCCTGTACGTTCCTGAAAAATTCAACTTTGATAGAGAATTTTATCTTTTTAAATAAATACTTAGCAAAGGTCTTAATTTTATCATTGCTGATTCAATTTAATTTTCAAAATAAAGAAAGATTGCTAGAATAAATAGTTTTTATAGTAAAATAAAGTATAAAAAACTTGTTTTACATATAATTATTAACCATTTTCATTTAATTTCATTTTGTTGAATAAAAAATTTATTAGAATTTATTGATAACTCCAACCATATGGTGTATTTAATCTAATGATCACATATGGTACATTTAGTTAACAAATTAAAAAAATACATCTATATATTTTAAACCTTTATGCAACTTACATATCATTATTCTTTTTTATTTATAGAAATAAAAATGTGAGATGAGCTTTAAAGATGTACAAGAATCAATACCTATAGAGTTACAACAATTTAAGAATAAATAGGATTATATATATATATATATATATATATATATATATATATCATCAAAGCATTATTCAAATAATTAGAACGTAAATCCAATACGAGAAACTTGAGAGAATGCGTCGTGCAATTTAGGGTCAAAGGTCGCCACACGTCGCTTGTGCCTGTCAAAAGATACACTTTCCCGACTCACCTGCAATATAACGCTTCTTATCAAGGCATTGACGCTAGGTGCGAAAATCTGAGATGTACTCTGAAAGCACCAGAGTACTATGCCGCCCTTGCTAAATATCGTGAAAAGATCGAGCATGATTTCACGATGCTTGAACGCGAGAGAGGAAAAATCCACTTGCCTCTTGACACTTCTCGAACACAACTACACACTACACAATGCTTCAACCTAACCTACTGACAAAGCAGCGCTCATTAACACGTCAGACTGGAGCATAGATTATAGAGTCCTAAATAAGAGGAGAAGAAGAAGAAGAAAAAGAAGAAGCGCAACAATTTCTACTGCAACAATTTCTGATTGGTTCCGCCATTGTTCTACGGATAGTCGCGCGAATCTTTTTGTTTTTAATTATATGCTTTGATAAGTATTTTAAAAAAGATAAAAAATAATATTTGATAAATATCTTTTTGATAAATATCTTTAAATCTTTTTCTCTTAAATAAAATATATTTTATTGTATTTCATACCGAAGTATGTGATATTGTAAGCATAATACTAAATGACTCCATCCTATAAAAATTTTTATTTTTCTCTTATCGTTTGGATTTCAAAATTTATGCAATTCTCGTAACAGTGTTTCTAGACCACAAGGAAATATTGGTCCTTTTTTAAGGCTGTCCTCTCGGGAAAATTTCGATATAATATGATATATGTTACGTATATTATATATTTCCAGTAAAATTTTTCTCGAAAAGGATTTAGAACATTTGGCAGCAGAGGGTTAATTGTGTATTTTGAAAACGAAGTGAAAATTATAAAAGTGAATAAATTTACTAGCTTTAGATATGATTACAAATACTCTAATGAATTTCTTCACTTTTATAATTTTTATCTTGTTTTAAAATACATAATTGACTCTTAGAACACAATCTCTATGATGATATAAATAGATTAGACTATGGCCGGTTTTCACTCGATTGAGTCCTTCCTGTGCACACATTTCGATAAAACTTTCCTCATAAATTGAATCCTTGCAATTTTATTGTTTTTATATATATATAATCTGTAATGTATAGTCAAATATGAAAAACTTTGTGGCTAAATGGGGAAACTAGGTTGAGGCCTAGATGGGAAAAACTATCTGGTGACTAGATAGAAAAAACTAGGTAGAAGCTAAATGGGAAAAACTAGATAGAGAGCTGATTGGAAAAACTATATAGAGGTTAGATAAAAAACTAGATGGGGTTAAAGGGTAAACACTGGGTGGGGGCTGGGAAAAGCTAGATGAAAATTAGATCGGAGTTAGATGGGAAAAACTATGTGGAAAAGCTACATGGGTAAAACTATGGGTTTTAGATGAGAAAATGTAGGCGAGGGATAGATGGAAAAAACTATGTGGGGGCTAGATGGATAAAACTAATTGCTAGATGGGATAAACAAGGTGAAGGCTCGATGGAAAAAACTAGCTGACGACTAGCTGGTAAAAACTAGCTATTGGCTTTGCTTCTCATAATCCAAGCAGCGCACCGCATCGC